TTTTTACCTTCTCTTGTTAGCTCTCCTCTCCTCTTGTCCATAGAACTCTCTGTCTACGAAGTGTACTGCGTGCTGGCAATTGCACCTGATCATGGGAATTTCTGGTATGGTTCCGTCTCCTCGTACTTTGTCCGAATCTTTAACAATGTACAGAGACCGGTATTGACAGCTCTTTTCTCCAGAGTCAACATCCGCCAAAAGTAGCGATCATGGCTTGTCAACAAATTCAGGAATCTCACAAATCAAATCAATCAGCGAGCGCAAGTTGATGGCGAAAATTGACCTTCATCTTTTGCCTTGCTTGTGTATATTGTACTTGCTCGCATTTTTAGACCGGTTAGCATTTCACGCCCCACTTCACGACATATCCTTGATGCATGCTGACCTGTCCTGCAGAGTAAATGTTAGCAATGCTGCCATTCTTGGCCTCAAAGAGGACTTGAACCTCGAGCAAGGCACCAAATTTAATACTGCATTGACTATTTTCTTTGTGCCGTATATTATTTGTGAGATCCCGTCTAACATCCTGCTCAAGAAGCTAAAACCACATGTTTGGTGTATGTCACAATCCCTGCCCATGTTTTCGTCAATGCTCTTAAGAGTCGGTGATTAATATGCCCTGGTTTAAGTGTCCGGCTGTATGTTCATGTTTGGTGTCGTGATGATCTGCCAGGGTTTCGTCACCAATTGGGGCGGACTGATGACCACACGATTTTTCCTCGGTGTGTTTGAGGCGGGCATGTTCCCCGGGTGTAAGTTAAATTCCAGCAGATGAGTGTATGGTTGGCGAGTGCCTAATAAACCCGCCAGGCTTCTATCTGATGGGTATGTGGTATAGGCGCAGCGAGGCCCAGAAGCGGTTTAGTTTCTTCTTCAGTTCTACCAGTCTGGCCGGCGGCTTTGGTGGTCTATTGGCGTACGGCCTCTCGCAAATGGGCGGGATTCGAGGATACAGTGGATGGCGCTGGGTATTTATTATCGAAGGCATTATCACTGCTGTAGTGGCACTTGTCCTGTTTTTCCTCATCCCGGACTTCCCAGAAGACGCCAAGTGGTTGAACGAAGTGGAACGTGCGTTCATTCGCGAGAAGCTGGCAAGTGACGTGGGAAAGTCTGCCCATCAGGTCCAGATGGGATGGTCTGAGATTGCAACTGTTCTCAAGGACTGTAGGTGGAGGCTTCACAGTATGGCGATTCTTGATGTGCACTGACGATTTCCGCAGACAAGGTAATCCTCGGCGGTATTATGTACTTCGGTCTAATCGTCCCTGCCTACAGTTCGTATCCGTCACTTTCAAAGACTCCCACCGATTTTACTAACTCTGACCCTCTAGGCTACGCTTTCTTCGCGCCATCAATCATCAAATCCTATGGCTATGATTGTATGTCCTCTAAGCGGTGATTATATCCAAAGTTCTATGCTAACCTCAGCGGTTAGCCGTTACAACTCAATTATACTCTATTCCTCCATGGGTAGCATCATTCGGGTTCTCCATGATTATTGCATTCTGCTCCGATCGTCTAAAGCACCGCTTTGCCTTCACAGTAATTCCACTTATGATTGCCATCGCGGGGTTTGCCATGCTCTTCTCCATCCACGGTACAGACCATCGCACCGCCGAGTATGGTGCACTCTTCCTAGTTACCTGTGGTGCTTACAGTGCCATGCCTGTCATTGTGTGTTGGTTTGCCATGAACCTGGGGGGTCACCACCGTCGGAGCGTTGGCATCGCCTGGCAGATAGGGTTCGGCAACATTGGTGGCATTATCGCGACCTACTGTTTCCTTGAAAAAGATGCGCCTCTATATAAACCTGGCTATAGCGTCTGCATGGCCTTCTGCTGTTTGACTATTGCAGCTTGCTGTGCCTACATGGCAGCCATGTGGTTCGACAATCGCAAACGTGATAATTCACCCGTCGATCCAAACGCTATTCCTGACGAACAGGCGGAATACTTGGGTGATTTGGCCCCAACCTACCGCTACCAGTATTGAAATGCGCATCTTACGACAGGGTATGTTTTTAAAGTCAGAAAAGTCTGGAAATCAAGGTTTTTGTCCACGGAATTGGCGATGTCGGCGGGCAGCCCCAACTGGACACACACACACACACACTCTCTCTCTCTCTCTCTCTCTCTGTGTGTGTGTGTGTGTGTGTGTGTGGACCCTCAAGTATTTCTGTCGAAAATAAATGATGAAAGAATCCTCTGAATTTACGACATATGGAAAGAAAAGATTGGTTAGGTCTCAGTTATCACTATACGAGGGAGTCACGTGTACATGGAGGTGAATAGCGCTTTCAGGTTGAATATTCAATACCTACTAAGAGCAAGTTATTGTCTACTGCTCGAGATACCAGACAGCGTGAGGAAATGGAGGGAAAGATTAGGTTCATACTAGGGGAGACCAAACTAATTAACATGTGCATATTGAAACTCTTAGACCTCTAGGGATTTTACTCAAATATTATGGAGGCTTCATAATATGAGCTTAGATCGAACGCACTAGTGTCAACTTTGGAGTCGATGTCATATGCTGGTGTGGAGGCCGTATTGAAGATTGTATGTAGGGATAAAGGGGGTTCAAAATGTTGAAGTAAAAAAGGGGTATCGCGGACCCGCCCGTAACTTCTTATGTGTGTATACGGTCGCTTAGTGAAGACTTAAGATGCGCTTAGGATTCAATTGTATTGTTTGGCTTCACTTTCTCGAAGCTTATACCGAGTGCCACCACAATGTTCTAATTGCTATTTTCAAGGACATACTCGAGTCACATGTTCTCATACCATTATTGGTTAGTTTTTATTTATCGATAAGAATGCAATTGGGCCTGGGTATTGCACACACAACACACACAAGAGGTTGAACCGGAGCGGAAGCGTCCGGCTGGTTTACGTGTCCGGTTCGCCTCCCGAGTATGTACGCGATTTGAGTTGACTAACACGTCATGTCAATTCGCCTGACACCACATGCCACACCTGTCTTGCGGCTAGGTACATACTCCGTAGAAGTCATGATACTCCTTATCGAAGAATGGGGCTGACGGCAAGCAAGCTGAGTGGTGGGCTGGTGGGGCTTGGTGAGGAAGAATGGTTCGTATGTTGTGGAGCAATACGTACGGAGAGATCATCCCAGCCTACAGAATAGGCAACGTGATATGATCGAGCAGCTTAGCAGTCTTAGCTGCATGCATAAAGACTCCCGAGTAAGTTAGTGTGCTGCCTCTCAATCGACGATGTGGGTATGTGTGGGTCTCCCTAGCAACAATCTCACGAATGATAAAGAGGAAACCTTCCAAATCTCCGATTAGGATCTCCTGTATTGGATGGGTCCATGTGGGCTTATTGCATTTTGGCCAGAGTTTAAGTTTTGCCGAGCGGCTTTGTCAACCGAATCTCATTCTCAGCTCGGTTGTCCTCTAAAATTTCAATATTGCCGCCCCCCGGGAACAAAACTCCGCAGATTCAGATCTCAGTATCTGGGGTCTGAGCATCAAAATGTCGCCCGCTACGGATTTTCTTGGGTCGAAGATGGACTGGAGATTCACTCAACGCCATGTCTTACAGCTTGCTGGTGCCACGGCGGCCCTCCTTTTGTTGGCATTCCTCTACATTAATTTCAATGTGGGATCATCAACAATGAGTGAGGCGATCCGGGTGAACAACAAAACCCAGTCCTGTATAGATTTCGACCCTGCAACTGTATCCGAGAAACTGGGTTCAGCCATAAAATTTAAGCAACACTCCTACAATAACGCCGAGATTTCGGAGTTTGTGTGCAGTATTATGAACCATGACATGAATCTCACTGCCAAGCTGGACTGCGCCGAGTCCATCGACTCCCGATATGAACATCTACGGCCCTCACCATCCGGGACCCCCCGGATTCAATACTTCTTCGCATTGGATCTCTACCAATCCGTCCACATCATTCTTCCGCTCATGGGCTCCATAATGCAGGCAATACGCTATCTGGGACCCGAGTACTGTGCGCTCTCAATCGTGGAGGGCCGATCAACGGACGGTACATACGCCATTCTTGCTGGTTTAAAGACCGAGCTCGCCGCCATGGGTGTGCCCTATTTTCTTGTCCGAGACTACCTAAACCCCAAAGCTGGAGGTGAAAATCGCATCACGGCATTGTCGCACCTCCGCAACCTCGCTCTTGAACCATTACTGGTAGAGGGCAAGAGTAAACATAGCCGGCTGGCCCCCAAGCCCACTATTATTTTCGTGAACGATATCGTGATCTGCCCCGAAGATATCTTGGAATTAATTCATCAGCGCGTTATCCAGTCCGCATCAATGACCTGCGGGTTTGACTGGAACAAAAACGCTGGTAACTTCTACGACGCCTGGGTTTCGCGCTCGATGTCGGGCAATCTGTTCTTCGAAGTAACCCATGATGGCAAACATTGGCTGGGTGACGATATGTTCTTTGACCACCCTGACAGTGTAGCCCGATGGGATCAATCTCTCCCGATACAGGTTTATTCCTGTTGGGGTGGTATGGTCACACTGGACGCCGAGCCGTTTATTAAGGGAAGTGTTACGTTTCGCAGCTCAGAGAAAGAGGAGTGCTACATGGGCGAGCCAATGACACTCGCCAAAGACCTCTGGAAGTTGGGTAGGGGCCAGATCCTCGCCGTGCCTGCAGTGAATACTGGATACGAATATGACCAAGCGCGAGATGCAAAAGGACGACGCGGGTACGTCCATGAAATTGTCAATCACACTCAATACAATACAGAGGCGGAGCTGGTGAAATGGGAGAAGAACCCTCCGCCCATGGTGAAATGCATGCCAGTGTTTGAACGACAATGGTGGACGACGCCAGTTTGAAATGAATGAAAAAGTTTTGCTATATACCTTGTATTTTGGAATACTCATTTCGTAATATAATACAATCTTGATGGCGTTTGGAAGTTTGCGGCAGATGAATGTCTCCGTTTTGGTGCTGATGGATGCTGAGGATCAGTTTGACCAGATAATGATGCCACGATAAGACCAAAATGGATGGATGAAGAGGCCTGCCCTGCTTTTACGTAGAAGGATGCGTATAGCAGTGGTAGCTGCATATCTTTGCGACAAGGGAGCACTAGTAAATGAAACCAACAGCTCAATCTTGCCCTTGGTATAGTTTGTTGGCTGGTCGATAGTCTGGTTCGCTGATATCGCTTGGACGTCAAGGTGTCGGAGAATATACTGTGACGGGGCAGTAAGACGTGCATGCCTGGAATGCCGTAGTATACGCAGTATCTTTAGTCCCTAATATCCGGAATATCCGGAAAGTCCAAAGAACACGGAAAAGCTAGAAGAAAATTCAATTATGTTCATAGGACTTAACTACACTTTAATCTTATAAACTCCTAGAATTCCCCTTAATAATAAGAAAAAGACTTTCCTAACTTCCTATCATGCTTTTGCGCAGCGATACAGATTGGCTTGATATCCATTGGCTAGGGCAGACCAACCACTTCGAAAATCCCTCAAGTTCGTGGAAGATTATCAAGAAGTTACAGGAGCATGAATCACGCTTTTCACGGGATGAATACGTGTCGCTTGCCACATCAGGCCAGCATGTATGAGATCATGGGGAAGGTACAAAGAGCAATGGAACTCAACATCAAGGGTTACAATATGCGGTTAGGTGAAGATCTGTTGAAAGGCGGGCTTCTCGGTGGCTTTGAGTAGAACCTGGCTTACAACTATAACACAGCCAACGACCATCACATGGCACTGACATGGTTTGAAATATTGAGAGATACGTGGATTGCCTGGAACATTAAGGAAGGAAGGGACGTTGACTGACCGACAGTGACGAAGAAGAATATGGCGAGGTGCTTTGTCTATCTTGGTAAAATATGACAAGGCCCACGAATTACTCGAGACCGGTTAATAAATTCAAACAAGAAAAGTCACTTGATTGGCCTATGCCGGCTTAGTAAGTATCTTCAATATGCGGTAACGTATTTCACCGGTGAGCGGGCCACACCAACGAGCGGGCCACCTCATCAAAAAATTACGCGTTTTATTGCCTCACTCAATTCAACTACCAACCATGCCTCTAAAAGCGCCTCAAAATTCAAGAAGTTTGGCTGAGCAGGAGGACAGAATACTACTTGCTATATCCGCTTTAAACAGAGAAGAAATCTGCAATATTCGTGAAGCGGCGCGTGTCTATAATGTTCCTCGCACAACTCTTCAACGACGATTAAATGGAATCACTTCGCGCTTAGAAACACGCGCCAATAATCATATATTAACTCAAAATGAAGAGGAATCGCTTGTACAATG